AAGGAACATTTAGAAGGAACAGCATTGCTGGATGAAGGACATCACTGTGGATATTCAGTATTTCTCTATAGAGTATTGCTCTATTTCCCACTCACCTTGTCTGCTTCTCATGTATGACTCAACTGTGTTCTTTCAGCTTCCTGTTTCTACTACCATGATTTCCCTACTATTATGGGCATCTAACTCTCTCAAACCATAATCCAAGATAAACTCTGTATTAAGTTGCTTTTGGTCATTTTTCACAATAGCTAATATTCCAGCTATTGTATTGAGCACACTATGAATGTAGATGAGCATGTGTCTCTGTAGTAGAAAATAGAGTCCTTAGGGCATACACCAAAACTTCTATAACTAGGTCATATTGGTGAATTATTTCTAGTTCTTTGAGGAACTGCCACTCTGATTTCCATAGTAGCATTTTAACAGTGCATGGGGGGGGGTGTTCCAATTTCCTACATTTTAAAAAACATTTGTTGTCATTTATTTTTATGACTTGGGTAAAATTAAGTAACAAGATACCTTTAATTTGCATTTCTATGATGGCTAAAAGTGGCAAACACTTAAACTTTTTTCTTAGCTAGTTGTATTTCTCTTCTGAGAAAACTTTTTTCATGTCCATAGCCCGCTTTTTAATTATGTTGTTTTGAGTATTTAGGCTTTTAAAAAAATTATATATTTTAGACTCTCATACCTCTGTCAGATGTACAGTTGGCACAGATCTTTTTTGCCATTCCATAGGCTGCCTCTTTAGTTGATTAACAGTCTTCATTGCAGTACAGAAACTTTCTAGATTCATGAAAACATACTTTTTGATTGTTGGTCCTATTTCCTGAGTTAGTAGGAGTCGAGTCCCATTCAGAAAGTCTTTACCCGAGCCCATATCCTTAAGTGTATCCCCTACTCTTTCTGCTAGAAGTTGTAGAATTTTGGGTCCAACATTGATATTTTGTTCCATTTGCAACTGATTTGTGTGCAGAATGAGAGAGAAGAATCAAGTTTCTTTCTTCTACAAGTATATATCCAGTTTTCCCAACATTATTTATTAAAGATGTTCTTTTTCATGTGCATTTTGGTATTCTTATGTCAAGAATCAAGTGACTAAGCCAGATGTGGTGGCACACACCTTTAATCCCAGAACTCAGGATGTAGAAGTATGCAAATCTTTGAGTTGGAGGCCAGCTTGTTTTACAGAGTGAGTTCCAGGACAGTCAGGGTAATCTGTAACACAGAGAAACCCTGGCTCAAAAACAAACCAACAAACAAAAATGTCCTGGAGAAAATAAGGACACAGGGAACATATCTTCACGTGGTATATGCAGTATAAAGGAATCCCATAGCCAACATCATCCTAGCTGGAGACAAACTCAAAGAATTTCCACTAAAATCAGGAAAGAGACAAGATTGTCCACTCCCCCCTCTCCATTAACATAGTACTGAAGTCTTAGCCAGAACAATAAGACAAATGAGAGCCATAAAGGTATACAAACAAGAAAGGAAGAATCAAAGTACCCCTACTTGCAGAAGATAGGATTCTATACATGGGTTAGCTTGAAGAGTCAGCAGTCAATTTCCCTTTTCTTGTGACTTGGCACTTCTCATTTTTAGCTGTCAATATATGTTCTTTGTTCTGTACATTTAGTGTTTTAACTGTAGAAATGTTTCTGGTCCTGTGTGCTGCTTTGTGTATGTCTTCTACCCTGAATGAGTGTCTGTCCCTCTCAATCTGGGAATTTTTCTTCTGTGATCTTATTAAAATTATTTTCTATGTTCTTTGTATGAAATTCTGTTCTGTCTTGCATGATAATAATACATAGGTTTTCCTTTTCATGGAGTCCCAGCATTATTGCATATTCTGTCGATGCATTGTTTTAAATGCATCATTGACTTGGAGTGAATTATCTAATTCCTCTATGGTAGTGCTTCTCCACCTTCCTAATGCTGTGACCCTTTAATACAGTTCCTCATGTTGTAGTGGCCCCCAACCATAACATTATTTCATTGCTACTTCATAACTGTAATTTTGCTACTGTTATGAATCATAATGTAAATAACTGTGTTTTCCAGTGGTCTTAGGCAACCCAATGAAGGACCATTCGAACCACAAAGGGGTTGTAACCCACAGGTTGAGACAGTCTATTCTCTATGAAATTCATCTTATTGCTGAGGGTTTTCACCGAAGATTTTATTTGATCTAGTGTGTGTTTCATTTCCATCATTATTTTGCTTTGAGTTTTCTTAGGTATGTCTACCCCTTAATTAAAATTTATTTTCATATCCTGTGTTGACTGCCTTGTTTCTTTCAGCTGTCTGTGTTCTTTGAAAGTATTGGAGTCCTCTTTGAGACAATTTTACATATGTATAATTATTGTTTTGCATTCTGCACCTGGAATTTTGTCCAAATCATTTTGACTAGGAATCTTGAGTATAGGGTTGGTAATTTTTGGAGGAGATAAGCTGACTTTTGTTTTCATGTTACTGGGATTTTTGCACTGGGATCAACCTTTTGGGTTGGTTATAATTTGTTGTTTTTGTTTTTTACTTCTGGTTGCCTCTCGTCTTCCAGTAGGTATGTTTGTAATGCTCAGGAGAAACTAGACTGTAGCAGATGTGGTGATGTTTTCGTTGGTTAGACTGGTGTTCCAGGCACCAGGATCCATCTCCAGGCCTAGGGTTGACCACTGTCTGAATAACCCATCACTATCCAGTAGTTAAACAGCTCTGATGACAGAGGGAAAAGTGACTGCAGAACAAAGACTTATTAAGTAATGATTACTTTAGGGAATAAAGGAATTCCATGCTACTGTGATACTAATATGTTAATGAGCAGAATAGAAAAGAAAAGGAAGGAAGATAAACAACCGCATTGGGTCTAGTGGTGAGTACTGTGTTGTTACACTGGAAGTAGAGGAAGGAGGTATGCATAGGACTGGGAATATTCGAGGCAAAGTAAAACTGTGGTTAATATGTGGGGGCTCTGATTAATAGTAGCCTAAAAAGAGGAGGTAAAGATGTGTATCCTAATGCCATAAACAGTGTCAGCCTCTGGCCTTTATGAGATGTAATGCTAAGGAATGTGTGTGGGGAAAGAAGAAACAAAAGAAAAGTTGTAAAACAGAAAAAGGTGTGAACAGTAGGGGACAGTGTTGGCTTGCTAGAGTGCCCTACTGTACATTATAGATAAATAGCTGTGGAAGAGGGAGGAGAGTTGGATGGAAGTCCTGAATGTTATTTTTGTTCTCTTTGTCAGAGCCACTGCTTTTTCTACTTGTTTCTGATCCTGGTCATACTCTGTGTTGACTTTTACCAGTCAAGCTCTCCTCTTGTAGGCCTCCAGAGGCTCTTGTATGTAGAGGTTTTTTTTCTGTTTTTTTTTTTTTTTTTTTTTTTTTGCCTCTGTTCTGTGGGCAGCATAGGCAAATGCCACCATCTAGCCACACTTGCTGTAGTCCCACAAAGTTGGGAGTAGCTGGAGGCTGGGTGGTGTCTACAATACAGTTTAGAGCTTTGTTTAGTTCCCACAGCTTCACCTTTTCCCCCTGGGGCACTGATGGTGGCCCTGGCAGCAGTCACTGGAAAGCCGTTCTGTGAAATCCCTACCAACACCACTTTCGTGGCTGTACTGGTAGGGTTCATTTAGCCTATTTTACATAGAACAAAATGTCCACGTGGTGGTGGTTGCATTGGTTCTAATCAGAGCAGCAAGACCAGGTCACTAGTGGAGATATTCTGTGGGTCCAATGGTATCTGAGTTTTAGTGGGGTGTTGATCAAGTAGACTTTAGGATTGGAGAAGAAACTGACTGATGAGATGATACCATATTTAGATTCCTTTTAATTCCTTAGTGGTGATAAGCTACACGTGCTTCAGCGTGGCGTCTTACAAAGAAGCCCTGCTTAGTGATTGTTTTCATTCCCATCATGATTTCAGTTTGACTTTTCTTCAGTAGCTGTATATTTTTATTCAATTCTGTTTTCATATCTTGTATGGATGCTTTTATTTTGTGTATCTCTCTTGTTGCTTGAAAGAATGATGTACAAGTATGTCCAAATTCTTTCTCTGGAAATTCTCATTTTCACTGGAGACCATTAGTATGGGATCAGTCAGTTTTTTGTGTGGAGATATATTTTCTTGGATTGTCATATTGTGTGTTTGTTTCTGCAATGAGACTTGAGTGTCTGAAGTTAGTCCACTGAGTTAGAAATGTGGGCTAGGGGCTGATACTCCAGAGATTGCTTATACTTCATGCCCAGGAGCTACGGGATTCACAGAAGTGTGGCCAGGGTTCTCTGAGGACTCCTTACCTGTGGGCATCAGGGACTAGTAAGTGACATAAGTTTGTTCTAGGGGCTCAGAATCCTAGGTCTTGCCAGCACCAGATGTTAGGGGAATTGTGGTGGTTTCAGCCAAATGTTTAGGGCCCAGGGACTGACATATTATTTGAAAGTGCCTGGGAAGACAGCAAGTTAGATATCTACTGTCTTATGATCCAAGCAACACATCCACCCCTGAAACATTTGGGTCATTCATTCTTCCTAGCACTCTTGGAAGCAAACATTCGTGGCTCATCCACTATACTCTCATCTGAGACCCACTAATCACAAAATGACATTTTCTTGTATTATCACATTTATATTGTATCAGGTAGCCTTTGAACTAGAGTTAATTGGCTCAATGTCAAATGGTAACCAAACAAATTCTCTCTTTATGGTTATTTATAACCATCAGCAAGAAATGCTAGTACATCTCTTCCCAAGTACATTACTTGGGAAATGAGGTGAACCTGAGCTCAGGTGGGAAATGAGCATATTTCATCATCTGTACAGGGTCAATAAAACAAAGGAAGAAGGATGAGAAGTTGGAGAGAGGACAGAGAAGGCAGGTTGTGTTGTGAAAGTGAGACAGGAGGAGGAGGAAGATAGATAGTGATGCTATTGTAAAAGATTAAAGGGTTCTGGATCTCATGGTTTCTGTCACATGTGTCATGTACCTCATTTTCCCAGATTCCTGTGCTCAGCAGTGGAAGACTTTTTGACGGACATCGTAAAGGCCTGGAGCCAAATAAAACAGAACAATACAGCAGTGCAGTCTGTGATTTTGAAAGTAAGCTCCCTCTCCTAGTGTCTCATCTCTTTGTGATCCGGGCTCAATTTTCAATAAAACAATGGGGAATCATAAAGTAATGGCAAAGTTGAGTAGCTGGTAAATCTTGATGGGGAAAGCCCAGTCTCATCAGCTTCATCTTTGCCAAGATGATTGGTACTTTGCATGCACATACACATGCCATGCACCTAGGGATAAGCCAAGAATCTGCACATGAATAGACACAGGTGTACATTAAGCATCAGTGAGTGAAGTTAATATACCAAAGCATGCGTGAAAATGCATGCATATAAATCCACAAAGGGTGGAGATATGACTCAGTAGAATAGTTGTTGTACATATGGCCACAGCAGTACAAACATATGCATATGATAGAAATATGCCAGGTTTGGGATACAGCTCAACATTTAAAGTACTTCCTGTGCAAATGCAAAGACTGGAGTTTGGATCACCAGAAATCCATGTAAGAGTGAGCACTGTAATTCTAGCACTGGAAAGTGGAGACAGGGACCCCAAGAACAATCTGTCTGGGGACTATACATATCAGGAAGTTGAGAGGTTGATTCAGAGATCTTGCTTAATGAATGGGGTGGAAGAGGGATTGAGGATAACCCTGAGAGTAACCTCAGGTCTACACACACACACACACACACACACACCACTCATAAAAACATGCATACACATGAACATGCATACCACACACACATTAAAAAAAAATCAAAGAAAATAGACATACACTCACCTCCTGCAACAGTACCTAGCATATGGCATACACTTTGTGTCAGAACTTGTTCTAAGTACTTTAATGTATCAGTTTCTTTGATTCTCATAGTTGACCTAAGGTATAGAGAAACAAGGAAGTTAAGTAACTTGTCTCACATCACAAACTAAAGCAGCTGTTCTCAACCTGTGAGCCTCGACCCCTTTAGGGAATTAAACAACCCTTTCACAGGGGCCACATATCAGATAACCTTCATACAAATATTTGCATGACAATAGTAACTGTAGCAAAATTATGGTTATGAAGTAGCAATGAAATAACTTTATGGTTGGGGCTTACCACTACAAATATTTGCATGACAATAGTAACTGTAGCAAAATTATGGTTATGAAGTAGCAATGAAATAACTTTATGGTTGGGGCTTACCACAACATGAGGAACTGCATAAAAGGGTCACAGCATTAGGGAGGTTGAGAACCACTGTACTAAGTAAAGGTTAAATCATGTGGCAGATGCACATCTTTGAAATACATGGGTGTGAAGACAGACAACAGCACTATGCAGAGGCACACCAGCATTCAAAGGACCACACATATGAATACACTAACATGAAAATGTTTCTATTTCTCTATGTTCCACACAAATTGAAGGGCCAGCTTGACATGAAAGAGGCTGTATGAAGCATTCATAGACACACCTGAGGCTGCTCAGAAACAAAGACTAGATGTTTAATTCCCTAATACCCTTTGGGTGTCAGCACAGCTTGAACTTCATCAGCTCACATATTGATTTCTATGTTCTGTGTTTCTGGCATATTACTACCACCCAGCCTTCCCTAAACCATCACTACTCCTCACTCTGTTCTTCACAAAAATATCCCATTTCCTTCTTCCATCTGTAGAGTGATGTGATGTATGATAAACTCAGTGTCCTTACTGACATTCTGGCTGAGGATGCAGATGTTACTGCTGTTGAGAAAGGAGCCACAGCATATGCAGCCCGTAACAGAGCACATGGAAAGCCCTTCATCTTTCAAATAGACCACATTACAAAGTCCAAATTGGAGTTGGCTGCACGGGCTCACAACCTCCAGAAGTCCTTGAAACTCATCATATTCCAGATTGAACAAGGTAAGGTGCTTAGAGTTTTCATGACTAGGATAGGAAAAAGTAAATGTTCCTCCTAGGAATGATTTAATGATTTCCCTTAGTCTGGGTTTGCTATCTAGCCTCACTGACAACACTTGACTGGATTCTATGTTCAGGTTGTCCTCCAAATTAATCCTCTGACTGCTGATTCGCAAAGCCTCAGTACACATACACTCTCTTTTTGACTTCCACTCTCTTGACCCTCAGTTCCGACACTTATCTATTTGGGGAACTGGCACTCATTGTAAACAGCTACATGTAATGTAAATGAAACTGCTAAAAGCTCTGTTAGCCCCCACTTTGTGTCATGGAATTTTTTCTGTCTTCTCCTGTCATTTCAACAAGCAAGGCTGATCAACAGCCTGTGGCTATTTGGAAAGAAAATTGTGTTCCTCTTTGCATGCCTTGCACTCCAGTAGTCAGTCTTCCTGACTTGCCAGTGATTGCCATTGCCCAGAATTCTCCACAGTCTCCAAACTTCCACCTTAGTGTGAAGTTCTAAACTTCCACGACTTCTTCATGTAACATTTTTTGATGACCACTTCATCTCTATAATGCTCCTTTGAAAAAGGAATTCAAAAGATACTGTGAGATAAAGTGTGTACTTACTGAGCTTTTAGAATTGAGCAAAAGTCCTAGAGGTTCAAGTCTGAACAATGTCATGTGAGCATATGTACTAACAAAATGGAGGTAGAAGGGAATAGTGATTTCTGCCTAGGTATTCCTAGGCATCCCTCCCTAGCATCTACTCACAACTGTGTGTGCTGTGTGGGTGAGAGAAAAAAGAATAACAAAGAAAACAGAATGTTCACACATGGATCTAAAAAGACTTGGAAATGTGGGAGCAGAAGAGGCATCATGAAGGAAAACAGGAGAGGAGTCTCACTGTCTACCAACATATAAATTCTCAGAAACTGTTCCATAAATGTGACCAATATCCTTCTCTACTTCCTTTCTTACTTCCACTTTTTCTCTGTAGTTCTGGATGAAGAAAGCAGACAGTGCTTATCAGTTAAGAACTTTTCATCAGCTTTCTTCCTGGGAGAAGATGACTCAGAGGACTTTAATCGGATAAGCCCAAGACAACGTAAGGATCATTGTTCTCCCATTCTAGCCTTCATCACTGCCACCTAGTATCTAGGGAGTATGTGTTTTCATGCATCTGCCTTTGGACATGACCCTACTCTATACTGGAAAGTCCTCACTCTTTTCCAGAAATGCCACAGTATGTCATACCAGTATCCAAAGCAAAGACTATATTAGACACGTGGAAAATACCGCTCTGGTGAGAGCCATGATCTGAATTTGTTTTTACTACCAGTGAGCAAGCACCTCAGCTTTACCCTCTTCTCAGTAAAAGTCTCTGCCCATCTATAAAAGGCTCTAAGGGGGCCCCTGTGGAGTGAAAACCCTAATGCATATTTCAATGAATGACATTGATCTGGACCCCAACCCACCTGGGAAAGCAGGGCTAATTACAAGTGGGGAGAAAGGCCTTTGGTTTGCATCTGTCTCCAAGATGATGTTTTTCCTGTTTAGGTTCTTATTATGACATCTTATCTTCTATACCGTCTCTCAAAAGTGAAGACCTAGACAACCTTAACTTAGAACACTTACATTATACACCGGAAACGATGTAAGTATGCAAGTGTATGACCTTTTAATGGCTTTTCTGTCTCTCTGGTTCATAGCACAATCTCACCATATCCAGAGCCAAATTCTGATTCTACTTAACCAATTGCTTAACCAGTAGCTTAACCACTGCAAGCTCTGATTTTTTCAAATGGAGTGAAGATAATTACTGGACTTTGCACATAGGCTTGTTCTAGTTGTTGAGTTTAGACATGAAAAGTACTTGTGCTGAGCTTTGTATTTGATACTCATAGTTAAGTGCCATGTGCATCAGCAGTTACTATCATAAACACATAATAAATGTTAGCTATTATGTCACAGGACTTATTTTCTCAGTGTTGCTTTTAATTGTAAATGCTTGAAGACCCCAAAAACAAACAAACAAATAAATAAATAGTCATGTAACAGACTGGATAGGAAATCCAAGGACACTTACTCCACCAATCCAACTTCTCTAACATAATCCAGCTGCCAAAAGTTATTTTGAGTTCTCTTCAATCACTTGGATGAGATATTAGAGAAACTCCAATTTCTTACTGTGGTCAAGAGAGGTAAAATTGATGTAAATTTAGAGATTAATTTAAATCTCCCTATGATTGCACAGCCAAACTATACTCTTTTCAGTTCTCAAAAGAACAACCAGCAAATATTTCTTAAATAGTTTTAGAAAACAATTCAATTTGGGTTTCCGATAGTCATCCACATCATTCCACCATTCATGTCTGAGGGCTCATGGGTCTGCCTTGTGAGTTGTGATAAGCAGGGCACTGGCAAATGTTTACCAAAACTGTGTAAAAGGATTGCCTGATTTACCCAGTATGGAAACCTTCCCAAGCAATTGAGATGTCTTTGAGTGCAAAATTGGGAATGAGTATGCACAGTTGACATGGGATAGTATATAGTGGTTCCAGAATACTCTAAAGTTAATGTTGACATCTTAGATGAATACAGGAAACTAAAAACTGTTTTGTTGTTGTTATTGTTGTTCCCTCTTTTACTAGACTTTCCTCTCAAATGTGAAATGCCTACACCTTTGTTTTCTGGTCTGAAAGTGCCATGAAGGAATCAGACATCACTGAGAATAGTAATGTAGACTTAAATAATCAAAATACATTCGCAACTAAGATACTCAAAAATTAGTTATGGGAATAACCTATGACAGTTTCACTCTGTTTGGAGAAACAGGATGCATTTCTGAGGCCTACAGATATAACTAAGATTACAAGTTTGGATTCTTTAATATTAGCGATAATCTCTCTATAGCTTATAGACTGACTGGACATTTTCTGTTAGAACTAACAAGTAACTCTTGGGGGAAAAAAAAAACAATCTATATATACCATTCCCGAGTCATACGGCTTATACCCAGTGGAGGAAGCCTTCCTTTGGTGATTTTTCACCAAGCAGATGAAGTCTGATACTCTTGACACTAGTATTTCTTTCCTACTTTAGTATCTTCCTTCTTCCCTGTCTAATTTCAGACGCTTCAAAGAAAAGTGTGTCATGAACAACTACTTTGGAATTGGACTAGATGCAAAAATTTCTCTGGAGTTCAATACCAGAAGAGAAGAACACCCAGGACAATACAAGTAAGGGGAAGAGGCTCAGCTTTCTGTATAAATACACATAAGCATGATACATATATGTATTCCTACACCAGACAAGCAATAGAAAGACCAAGGTCCTTGGGAAATAAAATGCATTAGTGGGGACAGCGTATCCTGAAAGTTGGGCTGCTCTATGATAATCAACCTGCCATTGTACGTTCATACATCCATTCCATAGCCCACTCATGTAAATTTCTGTATAAATAGAGCTACCTCTGTTACTGCTGTTGAGAACAGATTGCTCTGAACTTTACATTGTTTATAAGAGATTAACTGGGACCTAGTAGGTGCTCCAAATCTGTTTTTCTTGACAGGGCTTCAAAGTATCCAAGGTGTTCCAAGTATCTTGGTGTTCCAGATTGGGTTCTTTGGACCCACTGCTTAGTATTGGCCCACCTGGCACCTTCCGGTAGTTTTATCCTACAGATATACCTTAAAGCAGCTTCAGAGTTCTTATAAATTAAAAGTATAAGTTAAAGGGACCACCCCAAGCCTGCGAGGGACTGACCTAGGCCCTCTGTGTATATGTGACAGTTCTATAGCTTGGTCTTTTTGTGGGACTCCTAGCAGTGGGAGCAGGGGCTGTCTCTGACTCTTTTACTGGCTTTTGGGACCCTATTCCTCATACTAGGTTACCTTGCTCAGCCTTAATAAAAGGAGAAGTGCCTAGTCTTACTGTATGTAACTTGATATACCATAGCTGACTGATAGCCATGGGAGGTCTGGCATTTTCTAAATGGCAATGGAGGAGGAATGGTTGCTGGTGTATATGTGTGTGTGGGGTGCATGCTGAAAAGAGAGGAGGGAGGGGAAACTAGTTGGGATGTGAAATAAATAGTCAGGAGGTGGTGGTACATACCTTTGATCCCAGCACTCTGGAGACAGAGGCCAGTCTGTGAGTTCGAGGCCAGCCTGGTCATAGAGTTCCAGGACAGGCTCCAAAGCTACAGAGAAATCCTGTGTCGAACTCCCCCCCCCCATATAAATAAATAGATAAATAAATAATAAATATTTTTAGGAGGGCCATCCCACACCTGCTACTGCCACTAGGGTCTTTCTCCGAAAAGACCTGGGATGTGGACAAAGTATGTTACCAGATATGTGATTCATAAAGTTTCTCTCAGTTTATTAGTGTCTTTTCATTTTCTTAGAGGTATGTTTTTCTGTATAAAAATTTTGAATTTTCAAGGCCTAGTTATTTATTTTTCTTTATGAACTATATCTTTGGTATCATACTAATCTAACTCAAGCTCTGAAAATATTGTTTTCTTTCAAAATTTTATTGCTTTTGGTTCTTACATTAAGTCTGTGATGTACTTTGAATCATTGGGGTTTTTTTTGGGGGGGTGTATGGTATGAGCTAATGCTCTAAATTTATTCTTTTGCATCTTTAGTCAGCCTTCTATTGCTGTGAAGAGATACCATGACCAAGACTAGATATTAAGATATCATCATTGAACATTTGTTTGTTTTTGTTTTTCTAGACAAAGTTTCTCTATGTAACAGTCCTGGCTATGCTGGAACTCTTATTTGTAGACCAGGCTGGCCTCAAACTCGCAGAGATCCACCTGCCTCTGCCTCCCAGGTGCTGGGATTAAAGGCGTGTGCTACCACACTTAGCTAATTTTTAATAACCTGCTGGATACAAATAGTGGAATATGGGTAGCCTACCAGGGAGGGTAAAAAAATTGAAGTGTATAACAGAATAGGTTGGGCAGGTGATTTATGGATGAATATGGATGAATACAATGGAAATTTCTCAAAGAATAAATTTAAAATATAGTATTAAAAGCAAATTTGAAGTATAATATTAGAAAAACTGTTGAGAAATGAGATGTTTTCTCCTTCTGCCTTTCCCCACCCTCTATATCATATATCATTCACCTTCTGACTATCTTTTTTTTTTTTTTTTACCTCTTTCTGTAGTAGCCGCCTTAAGAACAAAATATGGTATGGTCTTCTGGGAAGCAAGGAACTGCTGCAGCGTTCTTATAGGAAGCTGGAAGAGCGGATACACCTGGAGGTTAGTAGAAAGGGACATGTTTCCTGGGCGTGGAGAAAGGAAACCTTATGCCCTCAGAAATCACCTTTCCACTATATCTTTGGTTCTTAAATTTAACTCTGGGAGCCTCACTCACAGCCATGGGGACAAGACTTGGAAGTTTTACTTCTGTTTCATAAATAAGAAAATGATAGTGTGAAGAGAAGACCAAGCCCCTCGTCATCTCTGTAAAAGGTCCTTGTGCTGCTATCTGAAAAGCCAGGCAACAAGAGCTACTCTTCTCTTTCAGTGTGATGGACAAGTCATCTCCTTGCCAAACCTTCAAGGCATTGTAGTGCTCAACATTACCAGCTATGCTGGAGGTGTCAACTTTTGGGGAAGCAACACAGCAACCGCAGTGAGTGTGGAATGATGAATGGGGTGGGAAAGAGGCATGACTCACCTAAATTATCTCAGAAAGTATTGCTGGGCTGACTGGAATGGCAAGTAGACAGTGGAGGAAGATGAGATAGGCTTGCATCGTCACTAGCAGTGTAGGTTTAGCTTCTTTTTTTTTTTTTAAAAAAAAAAAAAAAAGCAGTTGCCATTCCAGAGCATAAGAACCAAACAAGAACCTCAGAATTATGTCACATCATACCTGGGTTTTGACTTGTGTTACTGAAGCCTGAAAGACATTCAGAAGATTACCTAGGAGGATATGTTCTTCATCCTAAGATAGTATGTCAGTAAAAACATCTCCTGGAAAACCAGCCATGAGCTCTTTGCTCTAAGAAGTCCACGAATCTGATAGAACTGACTTTGGGGTTCATGGTGCTGCATTGGACAGGGAAGAAATTAGCTTATTTGTGAACTCCAAAGGAGCTCAAATGTAATTGCAAGCACAATTCCCTTTTACAAGCTTGGTGTACTTGCCTAATTTTCCCCCTTTAGTAGAATTTTCTCACTTTTTCATGTGCTAGAAAACTACATTCCCAGTAGTCCCCAAGACACATTTATTTATTATAGACGAAATATGGATTTTGGGGAGAATTGTGACATGGTTCTTCATTCATAGGAATATGAGGCCCCTGCAATGGATGATGGAAAGCTAGAGGTAGTGGCAATCTTTGGTTCTGTGCAGATGGCCATGTCTCGTCTCATCAACCTGCATCATCATCGAATTGCCCAGGTAAGCAAGGGTTGGATGAATACTAAGATGGAATAAGAGGGCTAGCTTCAATCCACAGATGTGAGATAATCCTAGCAATTACCCTGATTGTAAGAGTTCCTGGGTAGTGGGAGTAGGCAATCTATTAGGCAGTAAGGTAGTGACTGTTGTTAAAACCAAAAAGCTCACAGGGATAATATGATGCAAATTTTCTGCCAAGGCCTCTTCAAATACACATTCACACTGTGACCCAATGCCAGATTAACCCATAGCACTTCCCTCATTTTTCCCTTTTTCTCTCTCTTTCCTTTTCTAATAGTGCCATGAGGTGATGATAACTATTGATGGTGAAGATGGTGTCCCTGTGCAGGTGGATGGGGAAGCCTGGATTCAGAAACCAGGCCTTATCAAGATTAAATACAAGAATGCTGCCCAGATGTTGATGAGAGATCGGGTAAGAGAAAAGTTCTATTTAAGCTCCTACATTGCCTCATTCATAGCCATCACATTTCGAGCCAAGAAGAATTCCCCAAAGGGAGCTCTGCATGCCTCTTGCATCACGCACCTTGAATGACAGTTAGAAATACATACTTTTAGGTCTCACTGAACTGAATGGATAGGAGTGGCTCCTCAGAGCTTGCATTTGTAAACAAGCTCCTCAAGACATTTTTTAATATATAAAAAGACAGTTGCAAGACACTATTTCTCCTTCAACAAGGTTGTTCTCCACCCTACACTTCACAGAAAACTAAAGAGCTTTGGTGGTTTAGAAATATGCTCTTCCAACAACAGTTCCTGCATTGAATGTGTTCTCTTTGGGCTCCATAAGATTCCTTAACATATTGCATTTACAGATGTCATCCAGTTTTGCTAAAAAAATAAAAGCTACAATAATTGCAAAGATGTCATTATTGATCATTTATTCAGGACTTGGAGGCTATCTTTTAAATTGTGAACATAAAAATACCAATAGAGAGGGAGGGAATGCCCACCTAATAAAATTCCAACATTGTGATAGGCACATTGCCTGATATCATAGGTTCTCTCAAGAACCCTCTATAGAAGGCAAACTTATTTCCACATTGAGAGCTTAAATAACTTATCAATAGCTATACAACTAATACATGAAAAAAAGCAGGATTGAAAAATATATCCTATCATAACATATATACATCTGAAAAAGAATGGAGCACAAAAGATATCCCTCTGTCTTATCCGTCATTGTGTCCTCATAGACTCAGGAGCCAGTATACTAATAATAAAAAACTAAACTACCTTATACAGAAGATACATTGACTAAAAAGACAGGAAAATATATAAATAGGGACATAAGGGGACGGATAGGGATATATATATTCACTCCCCTTTTCTATCTATATCCCATATTACCTGCAAAATGCCATACTTATAGACAAATCTGTCACATGTCCTCATAGCTACAACAGTCATTACAATTTGCCAATGTCTTCATCTCTAGGGCTTTGAGAACTCAATGAAAACGTGGGAATCTAAGCATACTGATATCCAAGCTCTCCCACCACCCCATCTAGAATACCAGGAATTTCAGGAGATCCTCTCTGATGGGGAGTATGCCCAGATGCAGCACTTGGCTCGTCTTGCAGAAAACCTCATTAGCAGGTAAGAGGACTGGATATCAACAGGGCTAGGAAACCCAAAAATGGATAGGGAGAGACAGTCAGTTGATGTCTGTTGACTCCTGAGGAGCTTAGCTTCAGAAAGGAATCTCACTAAGTCTTTAAAATTAGGGCCCTGACAGTCCACGCAAGAGGGATTCTTTGAGGTTAACAATAAGCCAGTGTTCACACTACCCTTTAGAGCCAGAGGTGAATTTTAATTCCCTTCTGCTTTCAAAACCCAGTAGGAATAATATTTAATCTGGGCCAGCAAAATGGTTCGTGAAGTGAGGGCGTTTGTCAAGACTGGCCATCTAAGTTTGATCCTTAGGACCCCACATGGTAGAAGGAGAAAACCAACTCCCTGCAACTTGTTCTCTGACCTGCACGTGTGTGCGCACATGCACACACACACACACACACACACACACACACACACACACACACACACACATTGGCATGTGTGTGCACATACACAAAAATTTATGAATTAAATTGGTCTTGCTTGCTCTGAATTATTAGAAAGACCTCGAAGTTTCAGCAAGAGTCAGCTATGCTCCTCTATTTTAGTTTCTCACTCTATTCAATCTTCCAGTATCTAAGTCCAAGTTAAACAAACATGAACAAAGGTGAATACTTAAAGAATAGAAACATTTTCTAGCATTTTCTTCACTGGATACCTAGTGAAGAATGGAAATAGCAAGAGGGAATAAAGAGTTCAAATCCAGTATCAAAGGCTTTCGTTTCAATTCTTATCTTAATCTAGCAGCTCCTCACACCATAAGTCCACAGCAACAAACTCATCTGGTTTTGTTTTATTACAGACTTAATGACCTGAGCAAGGTCCACCAGCATGTGTCTGTGCTCATGGATTCTGTGAATGCCAGTGCTAACATACTGAATGATGTGTTCTATAGCCAAGACAGTGGCACTGAGGCGGGTGCAGCTTCCTGTACTCCCATTGAGGTAAGGAAAGTAATAAGCAAATGAAATTAAGGAGCTAAATTTTGAAGGAAAGGAGGTTGAAAGGAGGGGAAAACAAAAATTAAAGAAACTTATGCAAGTGATAGGGTAGAAAACTGATGGGTAGAATAGATAGTGGTTGGGGTTATAGATTCCTAATTAAAGTGTTTACCAAGCAAGCATGAGTAACTAACTGAATTTATACCCCAAGCATCCACATTAACAATCAGGCATGGCAACATGCATCTTCATCCCAATGCCTGACAGCAGAGACAGAAGGATTTCAAAGGCTCTCTACTCAGGCAGTGTAGCCAAATAAGTGGTTTCTAGATCCGGTGATAGACCCTGTCTCAAAAATGTGAGGTGGACAGCAATTGAGAATGAAACCTCACACTCATCTCTGGCATTTACAGGAACACACACACACACACACACACACACACACACACACACACACACACTCACACCTGTATGCATACATATGCACATGTGAATATTTACACACATATAACCACACAAAAATTGAAAAATAAAATAGCATGGATAGGAATTCAGGCATTTCTTAGATGTTACAAAGCCAAGGTGGCTGCTGGGGAAATGCCATGACAAAATTCATCATCCTGAGAAGCAGGTTTTTTTTTTTTCTTTTCTTTCTGGTAGCTAGCCACCACATCAGTCTCAGAGTGAAGCAGTTAATGAATGGAAAGAAACATAGTCTTTGACCTCCCTCATTCCAGTTGATTCATTGTATAATCATATAAGGTTACACCTGTCATTGAAACCAGAGGTCCAAGATTTTATTTCCCTCTTGACAGATCCAGATCAGACATTTAACATTAAATGTACGTTCCCATGCTAATATTCACTGCCATAAGATTTGAGTGTTGCTTTTAAAATGTAACTTTAGATTTGGAGATGTAGCTCAGTGACAAAGAATGGCCTTGGATATGATCTCTGACATAAATAAATAAATAAATAAATATATACATGCACACATTGACACAAATGTGCATACACATGTACATATGCCTCATGCATGCACACACAGGATAGAGAGGGAGGGAAGGACGAAGGGAAAGAGAGAGGAAGGGAAAGTGGGAGGGAGGGAGCTAGAGGAAGAGGAGAAAGAATTTCATTAGTAGGTATAAATACAATAGGATCAAGATGTTCAAATGTGAATTAACTTTATTTTAGGCCAGATCCTAGTTGAAGTACTCCAAAGGTCATGAGTTTCAAGAAGAGATATGTGTGGTTAGACTTCTACATATCATGGGAAAGGTAGTTTTAACCTAGGGACAAGTCTGATTTGCAAATTTCCTTCTGGTTTGCAAATTGCCTCTTTTCCTGTTACCCACTGTACCCAATCAATGATGCCAAAAGCTAACCTGTATTGTGCCTCTTTGCAGGGCACACCAATAGAGCTATGTTGTTTCCCGTTGACCATTGACAGCCGGTGTTGATTGGTTGGTGCCCATGCTGTGCCAGCTGTGGTGTATTTTTAATATTGCTTTCCCACCTACAGCGATGTCTACTAGTCTGTTTCTACCTTCCCATGGAGAAGCCAGCTGCATGCTTACTAACCAGTTCCTCTTCTTTCGTCTCCTCTCAGACTCTGAGCAGAAGTGACGCAGTAGATGTTACATTTAGTCTTAAAGGGCTCTATGATGACACCAAAGCTTTCCTGGATGAAAACTTGGTGAGTGCAGGGGGTTGGAGCATGGGAGGGAAAACATCTCTTTTAAATATGGCCATATTCTGCATTACAGGGTACTAGAGACGTGTGCTCATTGTAAGTTAGGTGCTTTCCTGATTATTTCAGTCATTCCAGTCACGATTGCTCTCATCCAGTGTTTGTTACCTGAATGTGTTACTGTATGTGTCATGCCAATCCATAGGGACTGCCGTATTTTGGATGAAAGTCTTTCTCTATTTGGTCAATGACTCCTGGGTCAAGACTAGGCCCGCCAGATACCGAGTATTCTTATTATACTTCATACAGCTACAAGTGAAAAGAGTGGGCTCCTCAGAGAGGAATTTGTAAATGCCACCTTCTCCATGGAGAAAGTAACAGGAAATACGGGGAAGTTTTGAGGGCTGTGAGCTCAGATAGAAATTAGCTATCTGTCATCTGTATTATCTCCCTAAGGCTGCCATGACTTTAAATAACAGAGTCTTACCATCTCATCATTCTGGAAACTCCAACATTTAGACCCAAACTGTCAACAGGTCCATGATCCCTCTAAAACCCCTAGGGGAAACTTGCTTTGCTTTTTCCTAGCTTCTGTTCATAGTTTCTAGCAATCTTTGTTGATCCTTATCTTATAAATGAATCACTCTCATCTTGTTTTTCATCCTCAATGTCTCTGTCCTTCATATGGCCACATTCTGCCAGGGCCATTGAAAGTAATGGATTAAGACCTGCCCTGTCTTGTATGACATCAAATTAACAGTGAATTACAAATGCAATGACTATAATTTCACCTCAGGGTACATTCTAAAGTACTGTGGATTAGGACTTTAAAACCTCTTTTGAGAGGAGCACAATTCACAACACTCACAGTGGAACTGTATCTCTTTTCATTCATTTCCCCTCTCTCCTAGATAGGAATTGAATCCCCTCCTCTACAGTCTGTTTAGAGGATTTGTATAAATAACAAAGTATTGTACCTTAAGTGCCTCGCAGTATCTGGTACATAATCTTGGCTAAAAAGATGGGCTTTTAAAGTACTATGTAGGGTGAACTATGACTTTGAGGACTACATTAGTTGCATGCTTCTCATAATGTAATGTCCATGCATGGGCACAAGGTTACTGTACTCTGAGAACACAACTGCTCATAATAATCCAATTTTGATGTTGTCCCCAAGGCTGGTATTGTGCTTGCTTTTGATCTAATTAAAGTTTAATTTGAAGAAGGGCTTCTGAGATAAAATCCCAAGAATACACACTGCCTCTTCATTTATATATCTAATTTCCACACTGCCTCAGAAGCAGAATGGCTAAAGCACTCAGACCACACCACTCCATCATCTGGGCCCCAATTCTGAACTCAATGTCATCTCAGTTCAGCCATCAGTAAATATGGGAAGTTGGCTTCTTGTTGCTTCTTAGGCTTTCTTGAAGCTCATAGCTTGAAAATTGGTTCATGTTAGGCAACAGCCCAACTTTGAACATATCCTACCATGAAGGGAGGCTTCCTTCCTATAGGACCTGTGAGACTGCACACATGTGTACACATCAAAATGAGGCTAGCAGGCACAAAACACATAAGAAGGACCATGCATCTCCAGAAAGGCTCACAGATATGAGATGGATACAAGTCATGTTTCTTTGGGGGATTATTCCTCTTATTGAGAAAGTATGGAAGTAAAAAACAAGAGTAGTTTTGGCAGGGGAGGTTGTATTGGGTTTTCATTATTTTAATGAATACCCAAGTCAATCAGCTTCCAAAGAGAAAGCTTTGGTCCCTTATGGGTCAGCTTATGACAAGGCAGCACATGGGGGTGGAAATCATGTAGTAGATTAAAGTTGCTCACCTCATGGCTAGAAATGAAAAGAAGTGTGACTAAGGACCTACTATCCCTCTCAAAGTCATGGCCATAGTGACCATAATACTTCTGACTGGGCTATACCTCTTAAATGTTCCACTACCTCCCAATAGCACCAGTCTGGGCCTTGGGAAGACATTCTAAGTAAACCATATAAGTGATATAGCTTTTCAAAAAAAATCTATTTAATAATAGTGACTCTATTTACTAATTCCCCCTTCTCTTATTTGGTATGTGTTTGGCACGTGCATCTAAATCATGCTGTACTATCTTAAGCTGTAAAGAAGGACAAATTATTTATTAGGGCTGATTTGTTTTCTTCTTGTATCATGTTCTGACTGGCTATAACCTCCCATCCCACTCCCTGCCCATTCAATTGTCACACATTTCTGGCACTAGCCTTTGCTACAGAAGTGTCCCGTATATAGAAAGAGACCACAGACATGCCAGACTGAAAGGAGAGTGCATGGTAGAGATGCACACACAGCAATCTAACCTAGACTCATCTCCTGAGTCCAGGTTAGATGCTGTGTGCCAACAAGAGCTGCATATATCAAGCTACTTCCATGTACCCATATTATTACCTGTTAGAATATAAATGGTTTCCTTGTACTTCTGAACTTGGAGATGGCCTTAAAGGAGCCAATTATAAGTCTCAGTATCTTGTGTGTGCTGGGAGGTCAGCAGTAACCACTTAGACTGGACAAGCCATCTGCAAACATGTTTCTTAATCATGGAGAACAAATAGCTAGAAACTACAGCACAACCTAGAGAGGCAGACCCTCTATCAGGAAGGGAAAAGTTGAGACAGACTTTCCCTAACCTTCTCACCTTGAATTACAAACTATCTTTTAAATTATTCCATCTATCATCTTGATACTTTATACATGCTTTGTGGAACCATATTGTACAAAAGGGAGGTTACTAAGTTAGACAGATTCTATTTAGCCCTGTAATCTATTTTTAAATAAATGTAATCTTTCAAATATTACATCTTGACCTTAGTTTCCCCTCTCTTCTCCCCCCCTCAGTCCCTTCTCCTTCCCCATCCACTCCTCTTACATTTCCCTTCAGAAAATGGCAGGCCTCCCAGGGATATCCACCAAACAATAGCCATGTAATCTCAAACACTAAACTTCTTTGATTATGCTTTCTCGTCTATGAAATGGGAATAATCATACCTTGTAAGATATTGTGAGGCTATTGGGGAGAGTAAGTGAAACTATGTATTCCAGTGCCTGATGTACACTGTATGCTTAGAACTTGGTGATAGCTCTCTTAGGAGGTTGCTGAAGTGGCTTCAGAAATTGCAAGTCAAGCATAGGACCCTTGTCGATATTAAGCTAAAGCGGATATTAAGCTAATTCACACTGGAGAAAAGACCTTCACTTGTGAAACTGAGTATGCCCAGTTCCAAAGGGACCCGGATATCTGACTATTTTGTGGATCATATTGTTGAAAATTGAGCTATCTAAAGCTAGTATTACTTTTGAGAAGTTAACAATCTGATTGTAGGCCAAATGAGCTACAGTTTGTCACTCTTATAGTCTCCTGGCCAAAATGAGCTACAGTATGCTATCTGTACTGTCTGTTGGTCACTAGCATGGACTCAGAGTGGAGTCTAAGGCAAATGCTAGGAAATGTATACTCACTGTTCTCCTTGTCTATGTCAGTTGAGAGATGCTATCGATAAGGCCTCACTACAAACTGCCCTGGATGCCATGAATATGGAACTGAGAAGGGTTTTGGCAATTGGCTGGTTGAGTCAAATCCTTTTTCCAGAGGTGGGTACCATGGGGAATGGGAATTTTCCCTTGGCGTAAGATCTGATAGTATGGGTTTGCACATGGGATGAGTATAATAGATGCTCAATTCAACCTTTAGCTTTGTCATTAATACAGCATCCTCTTCACCATGAATGGAAAGAATAAAGTAGCAAAAGTAGGTGACCATGGAAAAAATAATCAGAAAGAAGACCATTCTAAAGCAAGAAAGAATAAGAAAGATCTTGTTGTTCTCTAGGTTACTAACTCTCCCTGCTCAGTGTCTGCTGCCAGAACTAAACCATATCTGGTACATACCAGCATAGCCACACTGGTTGTTTGCAGACAGCTATTATAAATGGTGGATACCTAGGTTGTATTATGGTTAAATCTTCCAAACACCTCCTCTTCCTGCTGCTAACCTCCCAATTTCCTCTCCCAGCCAATATGTGGCATAAAAGGACAATCAAAGATTGTTATAGATAGAACATAGTTGCAGAGAAGCTGTCCATTTTGGACTACATTTCTAAGACTGGAAAATTCCATATTCACTCATAAACCATGTATGCCAAAGATGACCACCTATAGCAAAGCAAAGTAGTCCCTTTGTGATCTGACAGAGATTGTCTCAAAAACTTTCCACCATAAAAAAGTCATTTCAAATTTTAGAATCCCTGCCTGCTTCTTCATAGTTATTTTATGACTCCAAATGCCAGTTGTATGCATATGAGCAGTCATATAGGCATGTTTGGACTAGTGCAGGGGCAAGGTTACCATTTCAGAAGGAAAATCATATGCAAATTCATCTTAAAACAATGGTTCTCAACCCGAGGGTCAAGACCCCAAAGACCATTAGAAAATACAGATATTTACATTATGATTCATAAGAGTAGCAAAATTATAGTTACAAAGTAGCACCAAAATAATTTCATGATTGGGGTCAGCACAACACGAGGAACTGTATTAAAGGGTCACAGCATTAGGAAGGTTGAGAAGCACTAATTATCTTAAAAGGTTTACCAATCTTTGTGATTACATTACATTGCAAGGCCTTCATGTTTTTATCAGTAGTCCTCTGGGTTAGGACGATGTACCGTTAGACAATAAGCAAAGCAAATTCTCACTCTTTGCTCCATTACCTGCCTCAGCTATGTCCCGTTAAACTCCCGAGCTAAGCAAACTAGCTGAATATTTAGAGAAATGAGACAAAGTCAGCCTGTACCCTGGGCTCCTAACTTACTTGTGAGTCATCCTCACCTAAAACAAAAAAAACTCTTTTCTAAGTGTCAGTATTTCTGGAGAAGTAAAGCACTGAAGAAAGGAAGTAGATTGAAGATAAGCCAAGGAGATATTGCTCACGCTAAACACCCTTAACTTGATGATAGAAGATTCAGACCCACTTTTCTCGGGGAGAGCAGGACCAAGGTCAATTATTTTTGGGCTTTTCAAGGCTCTAACTGAGGGTAAGGTCCTGTGCTCTTTCTTAAAGTTGTTTATAAAAAGCAGTTCAGAAGGCCAGGGTATCCAGCTGGTAGCAGCACTAGCGAAGAAAGGGTACAATGGGAGTCAGTACAGGAAGAGGGGGAAGATAGGTTCAGACCCTTCCCCTGATACAAGAGATAGAAAGCATAACTAATCCTGAAAGGAAGATTACCCACAAACCTCATGTAATGTGTTTGGCTAGATTTCTTGACAATAAATCAACCTCAGTATTGTTTTGCTAAGAACAGGAGTAAGATTTAAGAATGCTTTGACAGAAACAAGGTATGAATTGGAGAATGAACTAGAATTACAGAGCCTGTGTTGTCTGCACAGCAGAGACTTACATTCAAAATTAGTAAGTTTGTTTGAAAATTCCTCGTGTTGCAGACAGAAAAAATGGGTAGCCTGTGAGGCACACTCTTCCCTATATGAGGATACTTGTCTGAGGGGACAAATAGGGGCTCTCACCTGGAGGTGTGAAAAATGGAATACATTTTTCTAATTCATAAAGAACTGCCATGTGAGCAACAGTGACCCCCCAACAATCCATGTGACCTCACATGAAATGTTTAATTGCTGAGCCTTTGCTTTTTTGGTTTTGTTTTTCCAACATACTTAAAAGAATGCCCAACTTTGTTTCCACTTCCTCCTCTCCTACCCCTACTTGCACAGCCTTCCCCTAACTCTGAGCCTTTGCTTTATTTCTGATGCAGGAATGATCTTAGCTATTTTTCCATGTTGTTTTGAGGCTTCTGTTAGGAACATTTATTGATATATCCAGAAAGGCACATGGCACAGAGTGGGCTCGATTTCCTTATTAAGATATATGACTAGTGAATAGGAGCAACTCTCCTACCCGAGCTGAGTAGATCCACCTGCTTTCTGTAGCCATCCTTGTCCATCACTTAAAAGAGCCTATATAAATCCTTTCAGAATGTCAAATAACTCACATTGTGACCTTACTCTTGCTGTGGTTTCCCAGGATCGCTCTTCTGACACTAGCAGTCTAAGTCGCAGGTTGAGAGTTAAATTCCCCAAGTTGGGAAGGAAGAAACGAGAAGGTGGAGGAAAGCCGAAATCAAGCCGATTCCCTGGTTTTCTTGGTAAGTCAATTCCACAGGCATAGAGGAAATGAACAACAGCTTGAATACCTCCAAGAGACCCGAAAGCACCCTCAGAAATGTTTGTAGGTGTGTTGGGAAGGGTGACTTCGGGAGGAAGCTAATAATAGTTGGGTGTGGTCCAACTGGTGTGATTCCTTAAGAAGCTGACATTTGGAAATCTCTGGTGTTTGAAAGCATTTTTGTAGACTCATAGTAGTTGCATAGATAATCGGGCTCTAAGAATTAATCCTATGTGTGTTCAGTTTGTATGGTCTCCAGTGGCTTCCCTCTTTGAGTCAGAGATAGTAGCTATACTATCTGTCTGCTGCTATTCTGCCCGATCTGGGGCTCACACATTTAAGCATCTAACAAAGTACTAACTTCATTATTTCTATACCTTTCTTTCTTTGGCTCTGAAGGCAAGTTCTGGCGTCGCAGAAATCGTGACAATGAAGCAAAAAGTGATGATTCTTCAACACCTTCAAGCTCTCGGCTGTAGTTCTTGAAAACTGGAAGGAGAACTCTCAACACAGAATTCTACTAATAACTCTCAAAACCTCCATAAAGACTGAACTCAATTACATCAGAACAAACATGAGCACCACCAAGAAAGACCCTCCAAATCCTTATACTAATATATTTCCCCTGGACTTAATCAGATCTCCTTAGAGGGTTACATTTTTCTCGTTGGCCAAAGATTCTTGTTCCGAGTTGTCTTATTCAGTTCTCCTTCTCTTTGTGTACCTTGAGCAACAACAGTGTTTATTGGGGATAGACTCTTTACAAATAGTCTGGGATCTATAAGAATTTATGGGAGTGCATCTCTTTAGGGAGTATTGGAATGGGTTTCTTTGTGTAGCAGAGAAACTGTTAACACCAAAGAATGAATGAGTAACTAGCTCTCAGAAAGATGAAGAGGGGGCAGGAATTCAGGGTTGGTTGTGTTTCTCCTCCAATCCCTGACAACTGCAACTTGAAATTTCAAAAGATGACTCCTAGTTGGCTCAAGAAGATGAGAATTATGTCCTGGAGGCTTATCCACTTGTCTATTACAGTGATCATGTGAATCTTTCCTTGTAGATATGAGTCTCTTCTCTCCCCTCTCCGCCCCTCCCCTGCCGTCCCCTTCCCTCTTCTCTTCCTCTCTTTCTTGCTAATCTTCCTTCTCATCCTGTTCCCCTTCCCTCGCCCCTTCTCTTCCTCTACTTCTGCTTCCTCCCCTCTCCCATAAACTCTTTTTGTTTTCCCATATGTACATGTATGTCTTTGCACATGTCCAGGTGGTGCTCTCGTGGCTGGGTGGGCCCACTGTTTGGAACTCACCCCTCATAGCAACCATACAGGCTCTTCTCTTTTTGCCTTGATCCTAGCCTGCATGTCTCCATGGAGTGCTTGCCTGCATTCTCGCTGGATTTTTTAACTAAATGTTTTGCCGCTGTGCTGCAGTATAGATTATATACAGAGACATAAAGATGTACATATATATACATATATATATATTTTTAAGAACTGAAAATACAACTCGACCTCTAAGTGACCCTCTAATTTATTGTGATAACCCAGGACTCCCTCCCCTTCCCTATTACCCCCACACACATACACAACTCTACCAACTGCCCTAGTTCTTGGTGGAGCTTCAAATCTTTTGGTGCATTTTTTAGTGTCTTAGAAGTAGCTGGAGTATACTTATAGCCCAGCTAATTCTGACATCCACTTAAAATACTGAGCCAGGCCACAGAAAGGGAACAAAACCACCAATGCCCTGCAGGAGGGGCCAAGCTGGCATGCTGCCATTTGCTCTGTTTCTCCTGGCTCTGTATCAGCAACTGCCTAAGCTTTCTTGTCCCCTTCCCCAGTAAAAAAGATTAAAGAGCTATACCCTTTAGATGTCTAATTAGGGCCTACCAACGTACTACAGCCTGTGCCCTTCCCCATAAGCTTAATCTGGTCCCGAAGCTATTGGATAGGCTCTTGGGCCACTCTTCAAATTAACTTTAAATCTCGTATCTTGCCTCCTTTTCCCCTGAGTATAAGTGGGGCTGTCAGGGTAACCAGAAAGAACATGGAACTGGGGAAATGGAAGCTAAAACCTCAGCTCCCCTCTGTTCTGCATCCAAGATTTTCATGAAAAACATTAGTCCTAAATTGTTCCAAATCTTCATTTGAATCTTTTTTTTTTTTTTAAAGTGTATAATCTCGGCCAGGTAAACCTAATGAAAGTCCAGTGCTCAGAGAATGTCTCTGTTCTGCCTCTCATCTCCACCCTCAAGTCATCCCTTTTTGAAAATGTCCCTTCCCACTTCTCAAGAAAAATCCAGAAAACTGCCCTCTTCTCACTGCTCAGCCTAACTTAGCGTGCTCAACTATCTGACTCAGTCCAATGGCTGGTTCACTGAGGTGCACAATCCAGACTACGATCACTGGTTCTCAATTTCCTAGAACTCCACCAGCCTAACCCACTTAAACCAGCTGCCTGTGTTCCACCTCTTCACGGGTGAGAAAAAGAGACTAACAATGGGGTAGTCCCCCAGTGTCTGATAGCTGTGCCAAACAAAACTGTCCTAGCTCTACAACTAGAGAAGAAACTCAATGGGAAAAGATGACAGAAACCATTTAGAACTTACATATCAGAATGTGTTCCTGCCAACAGTGTAGGTATTTAAAGGGAGTGTGTTGTTACGATATCTGGTTTTCTCTTTGATGGAGGAGGAGGTATCAGATGAAACCACCAAGGTCATTGTTCCTCCTTGGCCATAGAAACTAATGCCTGCACGCGCACACTCACATAGTTGGGAACCCTGTTGAGTTTTCCTAGAAGAATCTTTTTCCAAAATGGATCATTTATAAATAAGCAAACTTAAGGAAACAGAAGGAAATCCTGAGAAACAGTAGCCTTACCTTGGTAATGACTAAGCAGGGCTATGACTTGTAATTATTTTTATCGCAAATGATAGTCAACTGTAATTAGTACATCATCTCTGCTGCTTTTGCTGAAGTACTGTGGGTCTTTGTGTATTGTAATGCTGCTGTTGCTCTGTTGTACCATCTGAATTCCCACTCATTTCCCACCCTGTCCTCCCATCTGAGTCAGAATGATATTGAATGACATTTATAGGATGTGGATTAGAGCAAAACTGGTAAGCTAAGGAGCAAGTGTGGCTTGTTAAAATGGTCTGGATACCATCTGAATTGTTTAGTTACCAATTGTTCCCTGAAAGGGGAAGCTGGCATGCTAAGAATTCGTTCATACATCTACTTGGAAACAAAGCAAGAATGGATCTTTCTCTCTCTTCCTCCCTCTCCTCTCTTCCTCTTTCCCTTTCTTCCTCCCCTCCCTCTCTCCCTCCTTCCCTCCCCCTCTTTTTTGCCCACTCTCTAGTTTCCTTAGCCCCTAAGAACAAGGGCCCTTTTCAGGATTTCATTAACTCTTTGAGGTAACAGCTCAGGTGGTGGAACCAGACACCAAGTATCCACCACAGTTATGTACAGAAACCATTAAGAATCAAAGCTCCGGGGTTTGATTGTACCTTTGGTAGCACTGTCTGTAGAACTGATTGTCTAATTTCTGACCAGAAGTACACCAGGGAAGGAAAAATCCGAATAGAGTGAAGTTGCCACAAACCACTTCTGGCATCAATGCTGTAAGAGGCCAACAGCTATCCATTAAGGCCCTCTATTACGCCCAAAAGGGCAGGGGAAGAATAAAGAGGATATTCAATGTACTAAAAGTTGACCAGAAGAAGCAACTAGGAGTCAACATAATCTTCCCTTAGGACACAGTAGAATTTTAGTTGTATAACAGACAGAAACTAATACCAAAGAAATCAGACCCCATTCACACCTTTCCACTGAATAAGGGACCTTGATTGGCTATATGGTTTGTGGAGTTGCATTTGTCTGCTAATCTGTAATACATTGTTCTTTACTATTATGTGTTCTGTGTTTTTTGAGGCCCTGCAAATAAATAGCAGGGCTAGGACCTGGTCAGAGGAGGAATCTGGAATAGTCATGGAATAACAGAAAAAAAAAATTGCAGAAGGAAAAGATCCACAAAGTGTGCCTATTCCTTTAAGCCCTCCTCACAAAATGGAACACCAGTCCTCAAAATTAAGTAATTGCTTCTTAAAATATTTTAATAAATGGATAAATATCACCAATACCTATATCTCATCATTTCTTTCAATGGGGTAAGGGGAGCAGTTACATGAGTCTTGATGTGAGTTATTGGATTCAAGCTCAATAGACCACCTACAGGTACTAGTGTAAGGAAAGAGCAGGCAACAAAACACAAACCAAGACTGGCCCTTCAGGTTGATTATAGTACTAAAGGACCCCTGAAGCTGGTTGTAAAGCCTAGTTGCAAGTCAGGACATTTCTGTGGGGAAATACCTGCTACTAAAATTGCTCTAGAAGCAAGTTCCCCGAAGTAAACAGACAGATGTCAGTAAAATCTGTTAGTACAGGGAGGGCGAAGTAGTATACCCCAGACTGCTAAAAAGAAGACATCTTGAAAACATTTTAAAATGCAATGCTCTCATAAACACAAACAATAAATACTCCTTTCCCTTCCAAAAGAGTTTGAGGTTGGAAGGGTTATGTTCAAATCCAAACTTGGTTAGTTTTACTACTGAAAATAGTTTAAGGCCATTGAGAGGGTATAGTAGATAAAAGTGCTTGTTGCCAAGCCTGATACCTGAACTCAGTCCCTAGAACACATTTGACTCCCATATGTTGTCCTCTGACCGCACACATATGCTATGGGCATGTATATACACCCACAATGTAATAAAAAGAAAATGTTTTAATTTCTGCTGAATACATGGAGTCACCTTGGGAAATGTCCTTTCAAGTTTTTGTTCAGATATGTCCAAGAACAATTTAGGCTATTGCTGTTGCCTTTGCTTACCCCCATGCACTTCAGACACAGGGCTCAGGATGCAAGCTGGGTTTGGCCTGAAACCATCTTCCTTGAGGACTGGTTTTCACAGTACTAGGAAGTAATTTACAAACTGGAGTTAATGTTCCTACACAACTGTAATGCCTATGAACCACAAAAATGACCACAGCAAGCAATTCCTAATGGTGTATATTAGCTACTGTTATTGCTGTGAAGGGACACCATGACTAAGGCAACTGTTATAAAAGAAAAGAATTTAACTGAGGGCTTGCTTACCACTCCAAGGGGCACTCCATGATCATCATAGTGCAACTAGACAGGCACGGCACTGGAGAAGTACCTGAGACATTTACATCCAGATGAGCAAGCAAAGAGAGACATTGTACCTGGCATGGGTTTTGAAACCTCAAAGCCCACTCCCAGTGACACACGTCCTCCAACAAAGCCACAACTCATGATCCTTCTCAACAGTCCACCCACTAGGAACCAAGCATTCAAATACATGAACCTATTGGGGCCATGCTCATTCAAGCCACCACAGGAACAATAAGGCCTAATTGGACTTAATGACTATTCAACAGAAGGAAATTCATGCCTGGCACTATTTACCTAGGCCACCACTCATGGCTAGTGAGGCCATGGACTCTAGAAGAGAACCTACTATTGCCAATTTCCTAAACCAGTATAATTCCTAACTACATTCTAAATGTATGCCCTTATATCTACAGAAAAGTACAGCTCTCAACCCTCAGCAAAGAAGCATTTCTTTGAAGCAGATACCATTACAGAAAGCCACAACAGGTCAAAATTCAGAGAACTGACTATGGTGTGCCCCAAGTGATACTTTTACAACATAACCTCTATACCTAATGCTCAGGGAACATTGTAGAAATTGGGCATGGGAGACTGTAAGAGATACAAGGCTAAGAAGTAGTCTGCTGCAGGATTTTATCCTTTAGATATGGCATAGCAACATCCATGAAATCCAACAACATGGCTGCCTAAACAAGATCTGAACAATAATAACACCACACACATCAACATGGATGGGGAAATCTCACAGGGCCCCATCTCTAGATGACTTCTGAGAAAGAAAACTAATTTTTCCCAGAGATG